ATATAGGAGACCTGACAGACACTGTCACCTTGACCCAGCTGACACAAACCACTCCACCAGCGGTGAGCGAGCTCGACAACAAAAGAAACAAACAATCTGACCCCCAAATGAGCAAAGGACTTGCACAGATATTTCTCCAAAGACGATACACAAATAGTTAATAAGCACATAAAAAAATGCTTAATAACATTCTTAGTCATTTGGGAAATGCAAATCAAAACCACAGTGGGACACCACCTCACGCCCATTAGGATGGCTTCTACCAGGAAGAACAGAAAGTCAAACTGTTGGTACAAATGCAGAGAAATTACAACTTTCATGCACTGCTGGTGACCATGGAAAATGGTGGAGCCTCTGCGGAGAACAGTGTGGCAGCTCCTAAGGAAGTTTAAAACAGGATAACCATGTGATATAGCAATTCCACTTCCCAAAATAAATTGAAAACAGGGTCTCAAAGAAATATTTGCAAACCCATGTTCATAGCAGCAGCATTCACAAAATGTGGAAGCAAATCAAGTGTCCATTGATAGATGAACAGATAAGCAAAATGTGATATATACATAGGATGGAATATTACTCTGCTTTAAAAAAGAAGGGAATTCTGACACATGCTACAATATGGATGGATCTTGATGTCATGCCGAATGAAATAAGCTAGTCACAAAAAGACATACTGTATGATTTCAGTTATATATGAGGTACTCTGTCAAAATCATATAGAAAGTAGAGTAGTGGGTACCAGGGGTGGGGGATAAAGGGGAAATGGTGGGTAATGTTTAATGGGGACAGAGTTTCAGTTTTACGAGATGAAGAGCTCGGGAGATGGACGGTGGTGTGGCAGTGCACTATGAGGGGATTTAATACCACTGAACCGTACGCTTAAAAATGACTAGGTTGTAAACTTTATGTTTGTGTATTTTACCACAATAAAAAAATTGAGGGAAAAGATGTATATTGTAATCCTTGGAACAAACATTAAAAACAAATCATAAAGATGTATATTTTAAAAGAAAACAAGGAATTAAAATGGAATATTAAAAATACTAAAAATTTTCTGTTGAACTGAGAAAGAAAAAAAAAGACATATTAAAAGCAAACAGCTCAATGGTAAGGCTTAACCTCGACCTTACTGATCACTATATTAAAATACATATATATATATTTAATTGGATTAAACACTCCAATTAAAAGGCAAATATTGTCCAGTTAGATTTTTAAATGCAAGATGCAACTACATGTACCCTATAAGAAACAAAGACATGGGTTAAAAGTAAATATAGAAAAAATAGACATTATGAAAATGGTAAGCACAATTGAATTGGTTTAAATATTAAAAAAATACATTATGAAAATGGTAAGCACAATTGGTATTGTTACATGAATATCACACAGAGTATAAGAAGAGAAATATTACCAGAGATGAAAAGGGAACATTTCATAATGATAATGTAAACATTTCACAATCCATCAGGAAAACATAGCCATAAATGTATATGCATCTAATACCAAAGTTTTAAAAAGTGTGGAATAAAAACTCGATAGAACCAAAGGGGTAGAAAAATCCACAATCCTAGATGGACTTTTATGTTTTCTCTCTAAATTTAATAGTTAAATTGACCAAAAAAAAATATCAATAAACATATAAAAGATTCCAACATTATCAACCACCTTTCCTTACTGACATTTATAAAACACCATGCCCAGCAATGCCAGAATATACAGTCTTTTGCATAAACATGGGATATGCATCAAGGCAGACCATATGGGAGCCATAAAATGTCTCAATAAATTTCAGAAGATTGAAAACTTAGAGGTTTTTCTTTCTATGAGCACAATGGAATTAAATTAGAAATCAATTAAAAAGAAATACAGAGAAGCTCCCGAATATTTGGCAGTTAAGAAACACATGTTTAAAGAACCCCTGGATCAAAGATGAAATCACAAAGAAAATTCTTAAATACCTCAAACTGAATGATAATGAAAACTCAACCTATCAAAGTTTGTCAGATGCACTTGAAGCAGTGCTTACAGGGACCTTTATAGATTCTAATTTGTATTAGAAAAGCAAGAAATGTTTAAAGATCAATGATATAAATTACCATTAAGAAGCTAGGGAAAAAAGAGAAAATTAAGCTCAAGTAAGAGAATAAAGGAAATAATAAAGATAAAGGCAGAAACCAATGAAACAAAGAACATGCAACAGATAAGGCAGTGACCCCTAAGTGCCGTAATCTATGCCCCATGAAAATAAACTCCAAATCATGTCATCTGGGAAATGCAAATTAAAACAACAAGACACCACAACGCACTTATTAGAACAGCCAAAATCCAGAATACTAACGACATCAAATGCTCAGGCCATGCGGCAGTTTCTTATAAAACCAAACACACTCTTAATTGTATGATCCAGCAATCGCATTCCTTGGTATACACCCAAAAGAGCTGAAAGCTTATGTCCACACAAAGCTTGCCCATGGATATTTGCAGCAGTTTTATCATAACTGCCCAAACTTGGAAGCAACCAAGATGTCTTTCAGCAGACAAACGGATAAAGAAATGGTGGCACATCAAGACACTGAAATATTATTCAGCACTAAGAGGACATGAGCTATTAAACCGTGAAGAGATATGGAAGAAACTTACGTGCATATCATGAGGTGAAAGAAGCCAGTTTGAAAACTGGCTACATCCAACTACATGATTCCAACTTTATGAAATTCCAGAAAAGGCGAAACTATAGAGACAGTTAAAAAGATCAGTATTCGCTAGGGGTTAGAGGGGACGGGAGGGTGAACAGGCAGGGCACAGGGCATTTTTAGGGCAGTGAAAATATTCTGTATGACACTTTAATGGTGGATGCATGTCATTCTCCGTTTGTCTAAACCCATAGATTGTACAATGCAAAGAGTGAGCCCTGATGTGAGCTACGGACTCTGGGTGATAATGACATGGCCACGTAGGTTCATCAGTCATAAGAAATGTGCCATTTTTGTGGGGCATGTTGATAATGGGGGAGGTTATGTGGCCAGGAGTTAGATGGGACATCTTTGTACCAACCGTTCCATTTTGCTGTGAACTTAAAGCTGCTCTAAAAAAAAATTAAGTCTATCAAGAAAAAAATGATACAATAGTCTCTTCAATTTGTTCCAAGCAAAACAAAATACTTAATAAAAACTTAACACGTGTAGGACCTGTATGCTGAGAACTGTAAAGTGCTGAGGAAATAAATCAAAGCCCTAACTAAATGAAGAGACATGCCATATTCATGGATTGGAAGATTCAATATATAATAAAGATGTCAACTCACCCTAAATTGATCTATAGGCTTAATGCAATTCCTATCAAAATCCAAGCAAGTTTTTTTAAATAGACATAAACAACCATATTCTAAAATTTATAGAAAGACATCAACCCTAGAAAAGTGAGTTAAAATAGTGAAGAAAAGTGAAGTGTGAGGAATTACTTAACTTGATACTGAGGCTTACTATTTAGTGACAGTAATCAAGACAGTGTGGTGCTGGTGAATGGATAAACAAAGGGGTAGAATAGAGAACCCAGAAATAGACCCATAGAAATTTGTCCAACTGGTTTTTAACAAAGGTGAAAAAGCCACTCAACAGAGGAAGTACAACCTTTTCAACAAACTGTTCCGGAGGAACGATTAGATATCCATAGGCCAAAAAAATAAACATTAAGCTAAATACTATACTATCTGCAAAAATTAACTCAAACAAATTATGGAACTAACCTAAAACTAGAAATATTTAGAAAAATAAATCAGGGATAAACTTAAGGGTCTAGAGCTAGGCCAAGTTCTTAGATTTGATACCAAAAGCGTGATCCATAAAAGGAACAACTGACAAATTGTTTAAACTTTCCTCAACAAAAGACCATGTTAAGAGGATGAAAACATAAGCTACAAACTCTGAGAAAATATTTGCAAATCACATAGCAAATCAAAGACCTAGATCTAGAATGCATAAGGAATTCTCAAAACCAACAATTAGAAAGCAATCCCCGAACCATCCAATTAGTATATGGGCAAAAGACATGAACAGATATTTCACTGGAAAGGATATACATATAGTGAATAAGCACATGAAAAGTTGTTCAGCATTATCAGCTGGGAGGGAAAAGCAAATTAAAACCACAATGAACTATCACCGTACATCTATCAGAATGACTAAAATGAAAAAGAGTGATACTATCAAATGCTGGCAAGAATATAGAGAAACTATATCACTCATACATTGATAGTGGGAATGTAAAATGCTTCAGCCAATATAGACAATAATTTGGCAGTGTCTTGTGAAATTACACATGTAGCATGACCCAGCAATTGCGTTCTTGGGCATTCATCCAGAGAAATGGAATCTTATGTTTACCTGTGATGTAAACACCTGCGTATCCAGGAGAGTCCCAAAAAATACTAACCACAGAAGAAACATCGACAAACTGCAGTTCTTACAAATTAAAAAACTCTGCTCATCAAAAATCAACACTGAGAATATGGAAAGGCAGGTCACAGATTGGGAGAAAATATTTGCAATACATATATCCAACAAAGTACTTATATCTAGAATATTGAAAGAATCCCTACAATTCAATAATAAACCCAAACAGAACAAGACCTGAATAGACACTTCACAAAAGAAAATGGACAAATGGACAATAAGCAGGTGTAAAGTTACTCACTATCATTAGTCATCAGGGAAACACAAATTAAAAGCACAGTGACCACTCACACCCATCAGAATGGTCAAACTGCCCCAGATGGATGTTGCCTATTGTAAAGATGTGGAGTAACTGGAACTTCTTACACATTGCTGGTGGGAATGCAAGATGGTACACATACTTGGAAACTGGTTCTAAGTTTCTTAAAACTTTAGACAACCACCCCACTAAGAAACAATTCCACTCCGAGGTGTTTACTCAAGAGAAAAGAGAATGTATGGCAAAAAAAATGGGCACAACCCATACATTTATTAATAGAATGAATAAATTGTTATCTATAGTCATACAATGATATAAACTCAGTATAGAAAAGAATAAAAACTGATACATGCAACAATAAAGATGACTCTCAAAAGCTTTTTGTTGTAGAAATGAGCACATATTCTATCATTACACATATGCGAAGCTCATGAAGCAGGGAGAATTGGTCTGTGGTGATCAAAATTAGAACCGTGGTTGCAGTGGGCATGAACTAACTGGAAGGGACATGAGGGAACTTTCTGGAACCATTTGGTCTTGACTGGGGTGGTTGATTACATGAGTATTTGCATTCCTCAGAACTCATCGAATTGTACACTTATCTGTGAATTTATTTTATGTAAATTTTGCCTCAATAAAAATGTCATCACATATACATATCAGTGTCCAACCTTAGGCACCATTATGCCTTCATATACCCCATTTAGTGTTCCACATTCATCCCTCAAAAAATCCACAAGAGAACACAAAATAGATCATGAACCAAAAAAATAATAAACAAAAAGTCTACTAACATAATGCCAAAATATTTTGGGGACAAGTAACATATTGTTTGTCCCTCAGAAAGTCCATTTTAAAAATACGTTCTTCCTAACCATATAATTAGAAATAAAACAAATGGTACTTATTTGGTTCTGGTGTCTCTCACAAAATAAAGCAAAACACAGTGACATATTTAAAAAAACAACCACAGGCAAACCTCTGTGTGCTGTTAGAAGTCAAGGTAGCACTAGCCTTCCTTCCCCAGCGGTAGCAACAGGAGAGCGTCGGGGGCTTTGGAAGGGACGGGGAAGGTGTTCTTGATCTGGGCGCTGTGTTTTTAAGGAATTCACATGTGTGTATGGTTTGTGAAAATTCATCAGACTTTGCCCTTATGTTATATAAGCATGGATATACATGCACACAATCTTTCTTATTATACTTTTATAGAATTAAAAACAACTCTAAAATTTTAGCTATAGTAAAATGTTGGCAAATGGTGGATAAATCCAAAATAGAAATAACTTTTCAAAAGACACAGAGAAATGAAGACAGAGAGGAGAAGAGAAGCAGGGAGGGAAGGGCAGGCAGACACAGGGCCTGTCCCCTGCATGGTCCTCAGTCAAGGCCAGTCGTTAATGATTATTTTTGAAACATGGGCTCAGAACTCCCTAAGGTTTACCTGTAGATCCCACAAACAGCTGGGGAGTTAGGGCTGGGCTGTGGGTTTAGATGATGCCAGATTACTTCCAAATGGTCCAGAAGATGGCATGTAGATGGAGGTGGCATGGGCTAGTTCCTTGACCATGTCTCTCAGCTGGTGGAGCTGACACGCCGAAGCAGACTGGCATGACTTTTGATCTTGGCAAAAACAATGTTTTCTGGCCTGTAGTTTGCCAGGGACTGCATGGTGGCTGGGGGCATAATGAGAGAAAGGGAATTTCTGCAGAAGAGGGCAGGCAGGCCAAGGCTGGACAGCTCTGTGGAGGGGCCAGGGCGGCTGGAGACACTCCCAGACAGCAGGCGCCAGGCAGAGAGGGGCGAAGGGCAGGATGGCAGCAGGTGGGGCGAGAGCTGAGGGCCTGTGCACTCCAGTCCCCTCCCATTTCCCAAAGCATCCTCGCTGCTGACCTCACGCACGCCCCCACCTCCGCCCCAGCGTGCTCTGCACCCCGGTTCAGCATCTGCCCCTACTTGGGGAACCAAAGCATTTGGAGGCAGAGAAAAAGGAGTCCCGTGGGGGCGAGTTGGAATGCGGTGGGGGAGGGGATCAGAAGCGGACCCGTCCCTTCCCGCCCTGGCCCGGCCTTACCCACCGACCCCAGCCAGATGCATCTGAAGCGGTCCGTTCACCCTGCGAACAAGCTGCGGCTGACGAGGCTGAAGTTCAGGCTCCAGGGTATTGCCAAGGACCCAGTCTGGCTGGAGGTGGGCAGGCGGAGAGAGATGCGGTCCACCAGGTCCCAGGGCTGGGCCGCGTGGCTGAGATGAAACCTGCTGCCAATGCCCAGGAAGCTGGTACTCGCCGCCATCACTGGGCCTCCCCCGGGACACGGGAGAGGGGCTCTGAGCTCAGCTGTGTCGGGCCTTTCAGGAGCTCGCCAGCCCCGTGGGCTCCCGGAAGCCGAGGGGAAACAGCGGCTTCGATCTCCAGAACAATCGTCAGCTGGGGGAGAAAGGAAGAGCGCAAACCGTGCTGCCTTTCCCCAAGCGATTTGACTTGCAGGTGGCCTCTGGAGACACCTGCACTCCCTCTGCTCGCCCGGGGAGGGAGGGTTTTCCTCTCCCTCTTCTATTCTGACAAAGGAGGCCAAAGCCACAGCTGCAGGTGCTGAGGGCCTGCCCCTTGCAGCAGCTGCAGGCTGATGGATGAGCGCCGTGAGCCTTACCTTCTTCTCTGGGCCCATGGAGACCTCCAGACGGGCCGCAGGAAGCTCCCGACACCCTTCCGGGCAGACCAGGGCGAAATGAGCCCCCAGCAAAGTTGCTGCAAATCTCTCTTCCCGGAGAGAAGTTTGGGGTGAGGCCCTGCGATACACCCACCAGGGAGGTTTTGTGTTGCTGCCATTCTAAACCTGGGCTCGGAGTCCCAGTGTGGGGGCGGCAGGTCAATGCCACCTTGCATACCCCCACGGTTTCTCAGCCGGGACCCCGACACCTCGCAGTCTCCCC